ATATTAATCATATATATAATATTATTAGATAATAATTATATGTTTCAGGCTTTGAAAAATGTCAGCTGTCTATAAATTAGTGATGTGAAGACACAGCAGAGCCATCCCATTAAGCAGAGAGCAAAAATTCAGTCTATTTATTTCACTGTTGTGGTCTGTGGCATGGAAGCAATGGATAAAAATCCTCATGTTGCCTGCTTTATAGCCAAGTTGGATATATTTACACTTACAGTCACTGCTGCAGAGTGTATACATTCATGAGGACGTTTTCTGGGGATGACCTCATATTGTTGTCTCCTCTGTGCTTATGTCTCTGACAGCTTAGTGTAGAGTACAAGTGACCTATGTTTAGTCATAAAGCAATTTGTTACTGACAGAGCTCAAAAAGCCTGATGTAGATATTACATAGTAAAAATAAGTAGCCTTCTAGTCTGTAGAAATTAATGGGTATTAGTTATTATATTGACAGCACTTAAAATATTATATTGTTGGCATGTATAGAAATATAGTGCTTTTAATATTTAGCTTGCTAAAGTAGAAATTCTGTACATTAAGATTTTATAAAAGGAGGGGTTTGCATCTCAGAATATGTTAAAACTGTAAAATATTTAATAAATTATGTGGGGTTTTGTCAGTACTCAGTGTGCTTTGCAGACCACGAATACGAAAAGACAAGTTACTACATACCTGTGCAACAAAGTGCTCTGTAAATATAGATGTTGTAGCAGTTTAGTACTACTGTTGTACTCTTTGTAAGTTTCAACTCATAATGATTTTTATAATCAGATGAGAAATACAGAGAAGTTCCCCTTTCTGATCCTTTCCCCTTCCAAATGGGCAAGCTTTGGCTTCTTTTCATTGTTTGTGTTAGAGGAACCTGGGAAGGAATCCTGCTATCTTAAAAGACAATTTCGTAGCATGAGTTGATTTGTAACGCATAAAAATATTTTGTTTTGAAAAGCTATTGAAACTGTTGTTTAATGCACTGACCATCTTGAAAATCATATTAATCTTTCCAAAAATATATATTTGATAATTAGCAGATAAGTCTCCTTACATAATTTTTTCTAAATGTTGTAAATAATATCATTGTTATCTTGTAATTGTGCAAATACAATTTATTCTAAGAACTATTAATTTTTGCATTGATATAAAATATATTAGAAATATTTTACACATAATAAAAATAACTTTTGAAAAACATTGCTGAAGGAGAAGCAAATTGGTAAGCTTACCTGAGAGAGACATCCAGTGCATGATTTTCTCCTTACAATTTTCAGTATTTCTCTATTGTCAAAAATAAATCCTACAAATACATAGTAGTATTACACTTTTGACAACAGTTTATTTAGAAACTAGCTCATGGAAGTTGTTATTTCATTGAAACTGTTATATACCTTCCATTTTACTTTTAGATTTTGTGTACTGTCATTAATGTTAAAATCACTTGATTAATATTTTAAAATGTTTCATGTAGTACAGTCCACTCTTATGGATGTTAACCCAAACTGACAAATTTATGACTTTCATAGCTTAATTCTCAGTTTGGATGAAACTGAAACAAACTGAATTTAATCAGAGCTTTAATTCTGTGAATCATCATCACAGAATCAGAACTTTTAATAATTTCAGCATCAATCCAAAATTTCCTTTGGAAAAGGTTTATTAACTGAAAACTTAAGACACATATAATAAAACCTAATAAATACCAGCTTAATTGTAACAAGGCAATTCTCTTGTCTTATGCTATGATTTGGAATCTGTAACACTTCCTGGGTTACAGGAAGGGTTACCCTGGGTTAATGAGTGTAAAGTTTTTTGGGTTTTGAGAGTTTTGTTTGTGGTTTTTTCCTGTGTTTTGTATTGGGTTTTTTTTTTGGCAGTGGTTTAGGGAAAAACCCAAATTAATCTACTCGAGTTTCTGATGAGCACATCACACAAATATTCAGGGGCATAGTTGTGTAAGGTATAGAATATGATATTTCATAGAATACGTATGTTTATATGTGAATAGATTCTTCGTCTTCAGTTTCTGTGGTTTGAGCAATTGTTTTAATTAGGCATTTGAATGGTATCATGGTTGTCTTAATTTTTCTTTCTCTAAAAAAATCAAACATGCACAGTTGTTCAGTTTAAATTGTTATTCTTGTTTAAATGCAAAGGAAATGTGGAATATACTTGGTCAAATTAATGTTTCTACTTTAGGACAAAGATGGAGACAGAGCTGTCCATCATGCAGCCTTTGGTGATGAGGGTGCTGTGATAGAGGTTTTGCACCGAGGCAGTGCAGATTTGAATGCTCGCAACAAACGCAGGCAGACTCCACTTCATATTGCTGTCAACAAAGGTCATCTGCAGGTTGTGAAGACTTTACTGGACTTTGGCTGCCATCCTAGTCTCCAGGTAAAGTAAATATTAATGTAGATTAATTTTTTAGCTACTGAATTTTATGATTTGCTGTGTGCAGATGCTGTGTGTAGGTGATAGAAGAATAATGGAAAATAGGATTGAAAGGAACGGACCTTGTGATGTTACGTGTCCCAGCCTCTACCCGACATACGATCAGCTGTAATGAAAATGCTATTAAATCTGTTTGTTTTCTTGACAGCTGGATAGGCATCTGATTTGTTCTAGCCACTTGATGTTAATTGGTATTTTCACAGACTTGCTCTCCAGGTTAATTCCTCCTCTGTTAAATCCACAGCTGCTTGCTCCTTCCGCAAGGCACTGCTTTGCATTTTTTTGGCTGATGATACTGTGGAATGTTTCATTAAAATAAACCTTTTTTCAGAATTGACCTATTATTGATACAACTGTTGAGCCAGATTCTCTTTTTAAAGTTCAGCCTTTCATCTAAAAAGCCCTAATGCATAGGGCCTCAAGTGCCATAATTTCACAGGGAGTTTTATCTATAGTGAATGTGGTGGAAGCTGTGACATGAGTGTAACATCCTGTTAAGAATGTAGCGTAGAAACTTGCTATCAAATAGGCAGGCATCCACATTCTGCATGGGCTGAATGCAGCCCCATGCAGTGCATTAGTAAAACAAATCAGAAGGGGTAAATTCGAAGAGGTTTGCAATAGAAGGAAAAGGCTGTAACATCCTGGGCAAACCAAAATATGCAGTAATAAGACATTCACATCCTTGTTTTGCCATGTCAATAATTGGTGATTTTTCTGAAGCATATGTCCACGTAAAAAAAGATGAGCAAACTTGATTGAAATTATGAATATAGACGTTGTTTATTTATCTGCTTCCACCTGGCTTTATAGGTACTGTCTTGATCTTGGCTAAGGTTGAGCTGTTAGCCAGCTAACATCCATCCAGATGCTATTAGGATTTATTGAACGGTAGATATAATAAGGAGTCTGATGTGTTGAGCCCACTAAAGGGTGACTGTATATCATAGAATAATACATGATACATGGGTAGCCAAAATGGATGTGTCTGACTTTAAATTATAGAACTCTGAAAAATTCAGTACAATGGTGCTATGAAACTCCATCTGGAAAATATAATTGTCACTGAAAACAGTGAACTTTCAGATGCTGCATGTGTGCTGAGGAACTGTGATGTGCAAACATGAGTAGGCAATTGATTTGGTGGATGAGAGCACAGGGGAGTCAGACTGAGGCATGACTGGAATTTAACTGGCCAGCACTCTACTACTCAAGCCAATTTACTGTGTAAACAGGAACATGTTAGTCTGTAAACAGTAAATTCAGGAAATATGATCAATTAAATCAAATAAAAGCTACATAATTTAGATTTGGCAAACTGGTTCATACTGGTTCAAGTGTTTCCATATTCTGGCACTTTTTGTTTGGCAGTTTTTGATTCTCACTGTAAAGATTTGTTTTCGTATTAGTGTATTGCCAAAATGTTCAGCTCCTGTGTTAGTCAGCTTGCAGTTGAGTCAGTGTCAGTGACAAAAGGCTTTCTGACTTATATGGTGTTAGAATTTTACTGGAAGCATAAATCTAGAGAGTTTGCCTATATAGCAGCAAATAAGCTTAAACGGATGTGTGTTCCCACTGTTAGTCTAGGGCATTCCTTTCCAGTAAGCCATTTGGGTCCTTGAAGTAATGTACAAAATGCTTCTAGGAGTAAAAAGTATTTTTCCCTTATTTGGGATATTTGAAAAATAAAATGTTAAGCTAAAAATACAAAATCTTTCCCTGTTCGATTATGCACTAAAATATTTTTCATGTACCTTGTGTAATGTAATCTGGTATTAGCCATAACAAGTTTAAAAGCTTAATATTGCTTATGACATTGGCCTTTGCTTAATGGAAAATTATCTGCTTCAGTTAAAACAACAGATGTGCCTAAGTTTATGACTGCTTTTTATTTTGATTTGCTTTTGCTTTTATTCACACTGTCTTTTTGGTATTGTCTTTTATATGGTTAATTGCTGTCTCAGTCTTAACCTTCATCACTCATAATTCCCTGTCTTCCGCTTTCCTGGCTACTCTCCTCTCTGTTGCATTAATTTTTGTTGCTGTCCTTCTGTTACTCATAAATTTTAACGTGGGCATCAATTCCATCTGGATATGAGTCATGGAGAAGTTGATGTCTATACCGGTGTCTTTGGTACTGTCAGATGCTTGAGTTCTGATAGTAGTGTGATCATAGAAGACTGGAGCCCTGGGTGGGGTAATTCACTGGAGGGTTTGCAAAACCCAGAGCAAGATCAGAAGATAGCTTGCTCAGAACTCTGCAGTATAGCAACACTTTTGGGTCTGAAGGGCTGTTTTCTGTTTGTTTCCTGGTGATATTTAAGCATCTTTTTTTCTTTAATGTGAATGCATGTAAAAATTGATGTAAGCTGTTTCTGGTTTTAGGATTCTGAAGGTGACACTCCACTTCATGATGCAATAAGTAAAAAGCGTGATGACATCCTTGCTGTATTGTTAGAAGCTGGAGCAGATGTTACCATCACCAACAACAATGGCTTTAATGCTCTTCACCACGCGGCACTAAGAGGAAACCCTAGGTAAAAATTTATTTTTAAATGTTATTTTATCATTTGTAAAAGGAAAACAAGAGCATGGGAGGGTAGAATTATGGTATTCTTTCAAAAGATCCTTAAACCTGCATGCAATTATTTCTTAAATTTTGATATTGCTTAGATGTGTGGCTTTCTAATACTTGGGAAGCCATTATTAGAATGACATTACTAGTCTGCTCAGTTTAATGTTGTATTCACGTAACTCCAAATACCTGGAAAAGATCACATGGTGGCTGTAAAATTTTGCCAATAAACATGTCAATAAGTTAGTCATTAAGTAAGATATTAAGATCTGTAAAAATGTTTCCTGTCTTCTCGGATATTGAAATTGGGAAAGAGATTAGAGTTTTTAAGAAATATATATTTGTGAATAATTATTAAAGATGCCATGCAATTATAACATGATCTGAGGATTGTTGCATTAAATTGTATTTGTCAGTATAAGAAATATTTAATTTTGTTTTCTTAAAAGTTTGTGTAGAAGAAATTTCTTATCTTAGCTTTATATAGTAGCTTATCTGAAAAAGTTAAAGGCATAATTATTTTTGGTGCTAGCTGCATAGTATACAGCTACATTCAGTCTTCAGTTAAGATAGCTTTCAAAAACTATATTGTGTAGATGGAATGGAAAACTTGCAGTGTTGCTGGTTGTTTATTGCATTGTGGATAAATGGTATTCTTCAGAGCTGTCAGTCTAGCAAGACTTCAATGTGTTATTTGTGTGGTGGATAATTTGATATAGTTCCATGAAATAAGAAGTGTGTGTTTACTTGTTTAATTTTACTAAATTCTGCTACTTTTCAGTTGAGTGAAATTGGGCAATTAAGGCTGTATATTAATGTTTTGGAATAAAATCTGGGTTAGTCTCTTAGAACATAGCTATCAAGACTGATAATTAAAAAGTAAATGTAAGAACTTATGTATATGGAATGGAATCACACTTCACAAAATAAAGGTAACGGTTGGAAGTGTTGATAGGAACAATAAATGTGTTTACAGTTTTCTACAGTGCTCGTAAAAGGTCTGTAAGAGAACATGTCAAGGACCTAGTGAAGGGAGCTTATTTTTGGCATTCAGGATACAATTAATGTGGCTTCTCCATATTCACATAACAGCACTAGCAGGAGTACGGTGCCTACAGTTACCTAGGCAGGGTATGTTTTGTTAGTGTTTTGTTCTGCAATGCTTTCCTGAGGCTCTTGTGATAGTTGGTTTGCGTGATTGTGATCTCAATATGAGATGCAGGAAAAGTGTATGGGAAAAACAGCTCTTTGTAGGGATGCTGAAGATTTTTCTGTGGGTGAATGTTTTAGAAGCACCAAGCTTTTTCTTTGGAGGGATCCAAATCAGAGTTGACACTGGGTCAGATTGATGGTTGGTAGAATGTGAGGCATAGTGCAGTTTTTCCCAGAATACTTTATCGTTTACAGAAACTTTTTTGGAATAATAGGAAGATATTTCCAGTATTAGTGATATGAACCCTGTGTAGGTTACCCCCATACATGAGGTCTCACTTGCATCTAAAACAGATATATAAAGCTGTTAGTTACCTACTTTTTTGGTTGCAGTTATATGTGAGTACTTCTGAAGCATGAGTTTTTGTGGCTTCAGGCTGTGGTGCCTTATTTGGAATACAGTGCACTAAATTTTCCTTAAGGTCAAATCTGTAAATATGTTACTTCATAAATGTTATGTTCCAAAAGTTAAACATATATTCATATGGATGTAAGCATATATGCATATGTGTATATATTTATACTTAGAAAAATGAAATGCTGTGTGTGTCAGTATTGATGAAGTCCGCATACATCTTAATAGTTAATGATAATAAAATAAATGCCTGTGTTAAGTGCGTGGATACCACGATAAAGTGAAATAGGTTCCTATAGCATTTTTTACAGTTGATATCAAACAGGTATTTGGAACCAATTTCATTTTCAGTGCAAAACCTATTCTGCTGGTTTGACTTTTGAGCTTTACTACCAGTAGAGAGCTAGATGTCCAAGAAAAAAAGCCACACAAACTGTGCTGAGAAGTATATTTGAAAGTTGTTCGTTTTCCATATGAAAATAAATATATTCTATTTTAAACATTTGAATATTAGATAACTATTATACGAAAGATAGTGATTTATGTCAAATAGCTTACATTTTTCTCTCTTAATCTTCCATGACAGTTTGGCTGTGTTTTCCAGAAGTCAAAGTATAGTGTGTTCTGGAGATCATTCTATTGTTAGTGGAATATTTCTCCTTTTAATAATTTGCTTCTCGTCATACCTTGTGAATTTGTACAGAAACAGAACTTCTGTGTTTTGTACTGATGTATAATGTTGAAATGTAGAATGCTCATTTTTCAGTTTATGCTGTAGGTAGCTTTAAAGTTGTGCATGGGAGATAGAGCTAAAAAGAGATTTTAAATGAAATGTGGAGTGGTTATGATTTTATTTAATACATGGTTTCTAGTTCATGATTTTTAACTGAGTCAGTCATATTAAAAGTACTTTATTTTGGACTTCTTTCAAAGTACTGTGAACCTCAAAGCTTGGCAGAATTTGCCTCTTCAGTGTTAATGAGATTGTTCAAACAGAAAAAAGGAGAGCAAAATTTGAAAATACTGTACAGATTGGTTATTTTTGCCATGTTACCAACTCTTGGTTATGTTTGATCTGTTCGCATACCTGTGACTTGAGATTTTTGAGCTAAAGACATGACTGTGAAGTGTAGGCGTATTTTGTATCCGTTGCCCCAGTTAGTTTTAGATTTGCACTGTATCTTGTGGAGAGAGCTTTATTCACTGCAGCTAGCACCTTAAATAGACACTGCTTTTAGAGCTGACCTGAGTTTGCACATTCATATGACTAGTTTGTCAAAGCAATAAATTCTGCTGGACTTGAAATAAAAATAAAAATATGGGGTAAGATCTACATTTTATATATTGCTGTCCAATAGCAAGGAGTAAGTCATCTTTATATTCCTAAACTAGCAAGGGGGAGGTGGTGGTTTAAAATGGAATTGTGATTTTTTCCTCATGGTTGCCTTATTGTTTAGTAGATTTCTCCTTGGTTTTAGATTGCAGATGGTTTGAACTGGTGGGGAGTGGAATTTTGACTGTAGCAATTTGAGAGGTGGGGTTTGTCACCTCTATTTAGTGTTAATGAGTGTGTCAGGGATTTATGTGCTGTGTTGTCGTGAAGAGACAAGTTGTGAGGTAATGTAAGATTTGTGCAATTATTTTCTAAACCAGTAAAAGTGATTTTTTTTGCTTTCATATTTGCAGTTCTGACGGTAAGTGTAGGTTGAAGCTTAGTTGAAGCTGAATGCAAAAAAAGCATGTTCCCAAAACCTCTTATTAAAGTATTATGTCAGAAAATGCTTTGAAATAATACTTCTGTTCAGTTTGGTTTGGAGAAATAATATAATCTCCGTGAGCAGACCTATGCAGACCTATAATTAGATGGCAGATTAGCCTGTAGCTGTTGAGGTCAGTGACAAATTTATTATCTTTAAATAGCAAATAATATGCCCAGCAGGTACAAGATGGCAAATACAGTTCCTACCCTGTGGAGTTTTCCTCCCTTATGCAATTAAAAAGAAAAAAGGGGGGAGTTTTTTTTAGGGGTCCCAAAAGGTAGACCTGTTCTACGTTACCAGTATTTTTCATGATTGCTTCCTTTTTATCAGATTTTTTTTGGTCAGTTCTGGTACAAAGGGCAGCAGGCTTGAGGAAAAATACAGGAGACAAATCATTGGAAAACGTGTTTATTTCACTGTTTACCTTTCTTCTTTATAAATGTTGTAAGAGGTCAATTTTCACTGAATATGGACAGGTTATTAAGCACTAGTAGGTATTTATTTACAAATACAACCTTGAAATTTTGGAATACAGAAATTGCTACACTCCTTGTTACCTCCCATCTTCAAGCTGCCTAGAATAATTGAACTCAGCTGCAGAGAGGACTGCATAATTACTCTGAGCAGCCTTAGTGTCCAGTTTTAAAAATACAAGAAATCCTGTAGTGATCAATGCATAGCTACAGCTGGTTGAAGGGGACCAAATCCATTGAAGAGGTGATTTGGTTCCATTTTACCAGCTTTAGCAAAGCATTGGAGTGCAGGAAGGTTATAAGTCAGTAACACACTTTTAAATACGTGAACAGTTCACAGGGAACATGTGGCTTTTTGCTATACGTTTTTTTTTCTAGTGAATGCAAATTTAAATTACTTAACTAATTCGGAGACAGCAAAATGGAAAGCTGTGTACCAGAAAGGCCTGAGCAGTATCCAGGTTTGTTCCTGCCTTGAGTATTTTCTTGTGGCTCTTTGGATGAGTCTCGATATCAAATTATAGCTACAGTTTTAATTGTTTTTTCTGTCTGCAATAATGAAATTCTAGAGTATTGACCAGAAACTGTAGTCTTACAATCTCTGCTCATGTAGAGCTCCTTTGACTCGTTATGTTAAACTTTCCTGGGGAAGAAGGCTTCAGTTTCTCCCCCGCTCCCTCCCCCCCATTAATTTTCTGGCAGGTTCCCTTTTGCAGCTGCTTTAATGCTGTAGTTGGTTAGCACAAGTATAAATGTCAAGTGCTTTCAATTCCATTACTATATTTCTAGTTAGTATTAATGTTTTAGGAATGATTATATAATGTATCAGGATTGATTTTTTTTTTGTCCTGATACTATATGTAAAAATATTTAATACCAAAAAAATACAGCTTTTAAAGAATTACTTGGGGTTGCATCTGATTTCTTCTGAATTAAGGTCCTTAATACATTTGTCCATGCTCACATAGCTCTTTATATGCTGAATTCTTCTTGAGCTTTGACTGCAGTGGGAAGTAGGGGGCAACCTTAGTTCAAGCTGTTCACTAGCAGTGAGTATGTCAAGTATAGTCTACATCTGTTTGTTGCTTAGTCTGATGCTGGTGAGAAGATTTATGTAAATATATTCCCAATGCTATGTGTCCTAAAAGCAACATAGCAGGTG